CCAAGAGTTCTCCAAAAAACAGCATTTCCAGCTTTGCTTTTAGGGAATCATAGGAGAAAGCATGGGATGCCCACAGCCCCGGACCCTTCCAGCACAGGACAAAGAGTGGGCAAAGCTGCAGGGCTACAGCATGGCCAGTCCCTCCCAGAAAAAAACAGATTCCTTTTAACATAATTAAAAAATAAAATAAAGTGAAGGAATGATGAATTGAGGCTGGAATGTGGCTGCGAAGGGGACTGGATGGGGACAGCCCTGCTCAGCAGCTTTCCTCCTGGTGGTAATAGTGGTACCCGGGGGGGTCGGTGCCCAGCTCACCAGCGGCGTTGGCTGCATCCCCTGGGGTGCCTTGTGGGCAGTATTTGGGATCATAGATCTGGCGACCCAGGCCGAAGACCTGCCCGCTCTGGTTGGCACCCTGGTTGGATCCCATCTGCAGTGACATGGAGGAGTTGTCACATTTCTCCAGCCCCATCTTGGCATCGTAGATGTGCCGTCGGGTGCCGGGTGCTGTCATGCCCACCTGGAAGGAAGGGAGGGATTGAGTGGGGCTCAGCACAGTGCTCCCCACAATGCCACCATCCCTCAGCCTTGTCCCCACCCAGCTCACCTGGCTGGCACATTTATTGGTGCCCATCTGCAGGCTGATGGTGGAGTGGTCCATGGGTGGCAGGATCTGGTTCTTGGGGTCGTAGAGGTGCCTCCTGGTGCCGTAGGCAGTCATGCCAGATTGGCTGGCACACTTATTGGTGCCCATCTGGGCAACAGAGAGTGGTGAGAAGCAAGCACTGCCCCATCCCCCCCACCATCCCCATCCTCCTCCAGGAGATGGCAGAGGAACCCCCCAGCTGTGATGTGGGGCACTGAGGGTTGGCAGCAGCCCACCTGCAGCCCGATCACGCACTGCCCAGCTTTCATCTTGGCCTCATCAAAGTTCCGTTGCTGCCGCTCGGAGTATTTCACACCAATATCCACACCACTCTGCAGCCCCTTGGTCTTGGCCTTAGGAAAGGTGGTGAGGAATGAGGAATCTCAGATTTGGGGAGCTGCTGGGCACAGACCGCTGCTCATCCATCCCATGGAGCTGCTCCCATCCCTCCCCATGCTCTCACCATGCCCGCCAGTGCCAGCAGTGACACCTGCACCTGTGTCAGGTTCCCACTCTCAAAGAGGTCGTTGGCTTCAAAGAGGTCCACGGGGTTCATGCCGTAGCTGGCCATGGCCTTGATGAAGTTGGAGAGGTTCTCGAGCTGAGGAGAGGCACGGAGCAGTCAGGTTGTGGGGAGGGGGCACAGGACAGCCAGGTTACGGTGGGAGCATGGAAAGCTTGGGGGCTGCTTGCACCCACCTGGTGCCAGTTCAGTGCCGAGCGGTTGATCTTCCTCACCGAGTTGGGCTGCAGTTTGTTCATCAGCCTGGGGGGAGGAGGTGGTGGTGAGTTTGTGGGTACGAGGGTCGCCCCTCCCCAGGAGGATGCTGACATCACTTGGGGGTCTATGGACCCGCTCCTCCCAGCTGGGAGTGACGCAGCCCCACAACACCGGGGATCCCAGAGCCCTCTTCCCACTATTACCCCGAGGGCTCCCCATAGCTGGGTGTCCCAAACCACGCAGTGCCTGGAGGCCATGCTGACACCTTCCCATGGGTGCCGTGGGACTCACTCGCAGAGGATGACCCCATCCTTCAACCCCTTCTGGAAGTCGGCCCCGATCTGCCGCCCGGTGACGCTTTCAATCCACGTCCGCAGCTCTGCCTCCTTCTGTGGGTCGTATTTCTGGGCGAGCTGAGGGGAGGGGGGGGATGTGGGGTGGTCAGACACGGCCTTGTGTGCACCCCAAACCCCGTGGGGATTGCTCCCCAGCACAAGGCTGGTCACATTGCACAGCACAGCGTGAGGCGGGGTTTGGACAGCCCCAGGATATGTGATCAGTTGCAATTTCCTGGTGCACAGGAAACCCAGATTCAGCGGTACAGAGACTGCTGAGGGGAGGAAGGAGAACATGAGCTGCAGCAGGGCCCTACGGTGTGCCCGAGGATGGAGGGAGACGGTGGAGAACAAAGCCACCGAGCATCTCCTGCACTGCCAGCTGCTGCTCTGCGCACAGGAGCTGTCCCAGCCCCGCGCGGCTCAATGCTGTCATCAGCACGGCCACATCCAGCACAGCCCGCAGTCTCACACGCGGTGACCCCGAGACTCTGCAAACTGTCAAAAAGGAAGAGGACGAGCTGCTGGCACGGCTGTTTCTCACCTCCGCCCACAGGACCCAGCACCGACCCCAGCCGCGCTCATCCCTCCCGCCGGGCCCTTCACGCCGCCGCGGATTCCTCGGCCACCGCGGCTATGCCAGGAATGCGGCCGCCTCCTCCCAGATGCAGAGCAGCCGTCCGGGAACGGCATCGCCTCGGCCCGACCGCGGGGACAGCAGATCTCAGCCTGGGTTGGAGCAGGGAAAGCTGTCGCAAGGAGAGGCTGAGAGCCCCGAGAGCCATCGCTGCACGGACACAGCACAGCCAAGAGCCCAGGGACTCCACGGGGCTCAGCTGTTCCCTGTGGGAGGGATGCTCAGCACTGTGCCTGCACTGCAGGGTCCCCAGGCTCCATCAGACACCTCTACGGAGCCTTGCACAGACAGAACCGATGGGGAGCACAGCTCTCTGCAGTCTCCGTGCCTCAGTTTCCCTCTTAGTAGCCCTGGCGATGCGCTTTCTTGCACAGAAAACAGCTTGGGGGATGCTCACCTCCCAGAACCTCAGAGGGTTCAGAAGAACACCCCGGGATAGATGCATGCTGCCCCATGAGAGAGCTATTCCCAAGGGCAATGGCCCCACAGCCCAGTCTCAAAGAGGAAGCTGGAGCTGACCAGAACACGAGGGTGAATCGGCCACCACGGTCACACTTGTGCCATCACGTGGGTGCTGGTGGGATCCCCCCACACACAGCTGACCTATGCCACAGCACTGATTCCTCTTGATTCCTCTCCCCCTCCCCCTGCTCGGAGGATGAAGCAGAGGAGCAGAGGGCCGTCCTGCAGCAGGAGCAGCCCACGAACAGACCCCATCACAGTGCTGCAGGTCTGACGGGTTCTCAGCAGTGATGTCAGCCTGCAGCCTGAGCAGCGGGGCCGTCAGACTGGCTCAGCTCTTGCTGAACCAAGCTAAAGCACCTGGGAGCAGGCAGCAGCGAGGCCCCGGCACGTGTCCACCCACTGGGTACAAGCAGAGGCCCGTCCTCATGCAGTGACGAAACCCAAATCCTGTGAGGCCGGGGAGGGAGAGCCCAGCTCGAGCTGTGTGCGCATCCCGCATCCTGCCTGTGTCCTGGGTTGGACATCCAGCCGTTGATCCCATCCCTGTGCTGCACGGGGAGCAGTGGTGCACAAGGAAGGGGAGGTGGCCGTTGCACCCCCCCATGGCTGAGCTTCATTCCCAGAGCAGGTATAGGGCACAGCCTGGGTTGTGGATCCAGCCAGGGGGACCCAGCCCTGCTCTAAGGGTGGGAAGGGCAGCCCTCCGGGCAGCACCCTGCATCTTCTTGGGGTGCAAACAGCCCCAGCAGAGTAACCGGGTTCCACTGTGCCCTCCCAGCCTGACATCAGGGCCAAGTCCGAGCCCTGGGGTCCACCAAGAGGGACATCATTGGGTCGGGGCCGCCTCCCGAGGGATGCAAAGTGACCGGAGAACAGAGAGCTCGGGAGCAGAGCTGCACGGAGCCGGGGCCATCGCCCCACTCACCCCGCAGAGAACGGGACCGGGGCAAGAGTGGGGGCGGCCGGTGCCCGGGACCCCTCCCAGACCCCCGGGGTCCCACGGATCAGAGTCAGAGCGCCTCACAACCGGATCGCGGCCCCGGCACAACCCGCGCCCCTGGACCCGGCTCTGCATCCTCCGGATGGCATCGAGACCCTCGGAAGACCCCCGGCATTTCTCTGCTCGCAAACCCCCGTTGACCCCGATACCCCCCGGCCCCCGGCGCGTCTCACCCGGTTCTTGACTTCCGCAGAGAGGCCGTAGGATGGGCCCTTGTTGAACTGCGAGCTGCTCATGGCGCGGCGGCGGCGGCGGAGCGGGGATCGACGGCGGGACCGGGAGAGACCGGGCGGGACCCGGCGGGGCGGGAGGGGGGGGGGGGTCGGGCCCGGCCCCCCCGCGCTGATTGGACGGGCCCGAAATGCCCAAATAAGGGCAGGAGCCGCTCCGGACCCGCGCACCCCGACACGGACACGCGGGGGGCTCCGGGATCTCTCGGGACGGGGGTTGGAAGCGGAGCCGCCCAGAGCACGCGTGTGCACGGCCCGACACGGGGACACCCCCACGGGTGTGGGGCACTACGGACACGCACACGCGTGTGCAAGCCCCGAACACGTGCGCGTAGTGATGCTCACAACCGGGATACGCGCGGCCACGCGCTCCCGCTTGCACACCCATCCGCACGCCCCCGCCCCGCCCCCCCC